TTTTTGATAACGCAGATTATTCTTGTTTTAAAAATAGTTGTCTTACTTTTGATAAAAAGATTGTAGAGTACGCAATATGCGTTCAAAAAATTTTGAGGTATTATTTGTTAATAAAATATAAGTTACATTTTAAAATTATTTTCTCGATATTTTTATATCCTTTGAAAAAAAAGGTCGAAAATAAATGTTGGAAGAATTACATTTCTTTAAAAAAATAAAAACTACAGAATTATAACGAGAGTAGTAAGTCCCAAATGCGTTATTTTCATATAATTACAAAAAATTAACCTTTTATGGCAAATATATCTGTAAAAAACTAATATTTTTAATGAAAGGCGCAAATTTACGAAACAACATCTAGAACATTGTTTTATTCGGAACTTTATAGGAAAGAACGAAGTTACATCGGAATTACGGCTGACTTTATCTACCACAAATTAAAAGCAGCGCGTATCGTCGCTTTTACGCGAGTCGTTTGACCGTCGATAAAACGCACGAAGTGCGTTCCGTGTCGAAATCGCTGGCCGACGCGAAATATCGTCAGAACCGCGAGAGAGTAGCACGGGCAAAGTGCTCGCTCGGGCGTGCGGAAAATCGACGATAACTCGGCAGTACTTTGCGCTGACACTACGACATATTATAATGGGCCCCTTTTATAATAATCGCCGTGACATTTTGCAAAATTGATTCTTCTGCAGTGCCGGTCTGCGTGCGGAGCCTGCGTTACGCGCGCCTTACCGCTTTCCGGCTCGCCTGATTTTGTCAACGCGGAATTCAATTCGCGTCGTTGCGAAAACCACAACCGGGATCGTTATTCCTAACACAGGATCATACATAGTATGATTTGCCGCCTTAGAAGTGTCGTCGAAATCGTGAATCGCTCGGAAAGGAATGGTGACGCGAGCTTTTATTTTATGGAATTTAAAAAAGCGTGGCATAAAGGTAATAGTTTATAAAAATAAGCGTTGCATCGTGGCACACTATGTACATTCTTGCATAATGCGCTGTTTTTTTTTATTTCTTTTGCGCTAATAATACGACCAAACGTAATACCGTTAATACCAATAATAACAAATTTGTAATTACTTGATTACTAAATAATAAAAACGTAATATTTACGTAGCCCTCTTGATTTTTGCACAACTAAATTATATGATCGTTGATTTTGCAGCACCATTTACATTCATGAGCTAAGAGCTACTCTGCTACTAGATTTTGCATAATATCGTTAAATTTTCGTTACCAAGTCATTTTTTCTGTCGGATATTAATAATAATTCCGCGGTGAAAAATATCGTCTCGCCGGCGATGTAATATCATCGATTTGCATTGTCACGTTCCAACTCGATCGATTTCTCACGGAGATTCGCAAATGTTTGAAGAGGTCCACGCGATTTTCTGTCGCTGGCGTTAACAATCCGCTTTACTTTGGCACGATTGCGTTTACCTGTCCGATGTTTGCGCATAATTATCTTTCACGAACGGCGAAGAGCGATGAGATCGCTTTGGATGCTCAGATGATTGAGAAAGCGCTAATGACGCAAAATATTGACGGCGTTTGATATTCAAGGTATATAAAATGCATTACACAAGTTGGCTGTCTATAGATAGACCATGGTTATAAATACAGAAAAACAATCTGAACAATTACTTTATGTAAAAACATTAATTACTCTCATAAATGTTCTTTGTTGATTAAAACTCAACTCAAAGTTTTTAATGAGATCGAAAATAATTATAATATAAAATAATTAATTATGATTAATGAACAATTGGTTAAGACTAAGATAAACATTTATTGCAAACAGTAATAAATATTATTTAGTAATCTTCTAATGTATCCTGCATAATAACTACGATGTCTGCTGTAAAATTATGCAGTGTATTTTATACATCTCGGTCAGAAAGTGTTGCGACGTAATTGTTGCAACAGAAAACAAGTACATAATTTATAGATATTAGAGTAAATATAATGTAAATAAAAAGTTAATTAGCACATTTATTTTCTGAATATTCATTGTATATGTTTATAAATGATTAAAAAACAACTATACCTACATTTTATCAGATTTCTCAAGAATAATTCATTTAAAATTTGTAACACACAGTTTATTTGCTTTATTGGATTTTATTATGTTTCCGAAATTTTCGTCTCTAACTGTAAAGAAAAGAAAAATTTTTATCCACATTTTTTTATGTCAAAAAACCGAACAAGAGCGACTATTGTGTTTGTAAAGTTGCATTAAGGCATATTTTCAATCTGTCTTTCGGACGATTACTCGGAGAACGCAAGCGCGACATGATGTTCGAAAATTATGACTGAAAGCGAGAAGTGTTTTTCGAGCACGAAATCGTTGTACTTATGCGAAGTGCATTCTAGCGAGATGGGAGAATCTTGTCAGATGAAATTTTGTAATCGCATTATGCGAGTGCTTGTCCGTTCTCGCTTCGAGGCATACATCGACAATGTGACATTTTCAGAGTCGATAATTACATCATTTTTTCCGATAAATATATATACAATATATTTGTAACAAGTTAATCGAAAAAAATTTCAACACTATCTAATTGAATGGAACTTGATAATGAATACATGTATTTTAGGAAACGTATTCAAACTTATTAAGATATACATATTTATATCTTGTTATGTATGTTGCATATCTATCAAATAATAAATAAAATCAATACTGATTCAAAAATACGTAGTAGCGCTCAATGACGCAAAAACACCTATGTAAAGTTTTAATATCATGAGTCTTTTTAAGACATTCAAAATTTCTAGTTTATACTATTTAATTTCTAGTTTATAATATTTAAATTTTAAATTTTTGATACTTTAAAATGTTTTAACTTTTTTAACTTTTTTTGGTATATGAGACGGATGTTTAAATTATTTAATTTTGCAAACTTTACTTATTTTATTTTAAAATTATTTTTTATTATAAGAATTTATAAAATTAAAATAAGACTGAATAATAAACATATTTTTAGAAATGAAAAAATAATAAAATTCAATATTAAATGTGATTTTTTTAATGCCAAGTAATGTAAATATCAAAATACTTTAAGCTTTCAAGATAGAAATCATCAATATAGAAATCATTTCAATTATTAAATCTATCTTTTGTCTGATTTATCATCCATTTTCAAAGAAAAACTTATTTAAAATATTTATTGTTTATAGAATTGTTAAATAGAATTGTTATATTGCATTTTTGGTTAAATAAATAAAAAAATAAAATTTGAAAAATATGAAGTTTAAATAAAAATGTACAATGGCTGAAAGAAAATTCAAGTTTTAAAAAATGAAAAAAATATGATTTTGATTTCATATGTATGTTTATGATGAAGATATTTGATACTACTATAGAAACTACTACTTTCACAGCAGCACAGAATAATTCAACAAAATATAGAATATTTTTCATTTGGATATTGTGAAACTTCCATAGCGTTATCAGCGTTATCTGATAAGTTATCTATTGAAATCTATCTACATTTGAGGAAAACAAAAAATAAGAAAGAAGATAAAAATAAAAACAAAATGAGCTATCATAAAATAAACAAGTGAAAAAAGTGAAATTTTCTACAAAAGTAAAAGTGAACACTAAGAATAATATAACGTGAATGTTATAATTCCCAACTCAATAATACAAATGTGCACACATGTGTTATGCAACACGTTACGTTGTGAAATGGAAAATTATAATATTGGCCATTACGTTACTGTTAATTGGATTGACAATCTAACAAAATGAAAAGACATAAAATGGTTTATTCAAAGATATTAAAAGTATCGTATTTTTTTAATTTCCAAATTTTCTAGAAAGAATACACAAATTCCAAAAAGATATTTGAATATGTTTGTTATAAAGATGATGTTACGTAAAATTTTGTTTAGTGGCATAATTTAAAAATGTAAAGTGTGATGTCAAATAAGAATTCAATAACTTTAATTTAAATCAGTTATTGAATCTTTATTTTATATAAATAACATATAGCAGTTACAGAGCTAAAGATAATAAAAATGAAATATCATAAAAAGTATTTATGTTAATTTAACATAATTTTAAAATATTATTAAAATTATTATAATTACAATAACTGGCATTGCAAATGTATAAAAATATACATATTTAAAAAGACATGAATGTTTCGTCAACTGAGTAAATCTGTTTTATAATCTTGTAATAACCTTGAGTAAATCTGTTTTATAATCTTGTAGCCTTGTTGAACAACGAAATGAATAGATCTACTTTCTTGAATTATGCTGTATTACGTGTTTTCAAATATATAAAATTACAAATAAATATATAAATAAAGCTACATATAAATATAAATATAAATGTAAGCATGAAAAATCTCGTATTTAGTTTAAATATGACAAAAAATATTCGTTAAAAATTTGCTATCCACTTTGAAATATAATACTTATTTAATTAATATGATTTATAAAATGTTCTAATAAATGGTTGATAAAATATTTTAGAAGCTTCCTTATTCTATATAAGGAAAAAGTTACATTATTATCGTTATGATGATAGTAAACAGTATCAGGTTAAGATATGTCATAATATATTTTAAAATATTTTTGAAAAATTTCGAGATTTTATAGTTTGTATTGTTTCAGAAAATAAAAATTTAAATACTTTATATTAACATATGTGAAACATTATCTGTTTGTTTTATATTTTAACTATAAATTTATTACTTTATAAAATTGTTTTGTATTTTAATATTTATTTTAATAAGATATTAGTTATTCAAATATGTTCTCTTATCAATTGTCAGGATCTTGTTGTTATATATTCTGAAGAAGAATTCTGAAGAGAAGTATGCAAGTATTTTCTTTCATACGATAATTTAATTTGTCACTTGAGAGAATTTGTTAAAATGATTTTATTACGCAATATAGTTGCTTTTGTCTCAATTTGTTCATGCAAAGTATTGATGATTCGAAATATAGTAGTGATAACTAGAAAATAATGATGTTCTAACCTATATGTCGAGAGATTTCCTTTGTTACAGACTAGTGCTGCAGTTGCTCATGAGTTGAATAAACACGAACGAGAAAGACACACTGTGAAAGATTATCTTATACTGTTCGAGAAAGTCACTGTCATGCGTTTTATACGTCACGTTAAATCGCGCTGGTGGGAGAAGTCATTACATCTACTTAAATTATAAATTATCGCATCGAACTTTGAAATATTAATATTTCCTTTTTATGAAAGCAATTTGCATACAAACATTTTGCACGTATTTAATGATATTTTGAATTTATTTAAAATATGGAATATAGTAAAATTGATTAATATGTTTCTGTTTGAAAAATTATGTATAATTATGTACAATAAAAGCATTTCTTTTCTACAAAAATAAGTGATATATTTCTACAAGTAATATGTATAAAGTAACATTTAAGTATCATGATACATCAACAACGCATAACATCAAATGCATGCATTCAAAGTCTATTTAATATCTGTTGAATAGACTTTATGCAACTTTATCATATCATACATGTGTAAGAATCTATAATTAGACATAGATCGTATTTAGCTAAGAAACACTCTAACTCTCTAACATTTTGCAAATAAAATGTCTTTTGCACGATAAGCAAATATTTATAAGATAAAACATTAATATAAAAAATAAAAGTTGCAACAATTTATTTTTATATTTATCTTCGCTTTGATTTTTATATTTATCTATATTCGCTTTGATTTTTATTTTATAATGTAATATAGAGTTTGTTAGATATAAATCATTGTTTAAAACTGATTTTATGACATTAAAATTATCAAGTTTCTTTAAATAATTTTTGTATTAAAATTTTATTGTTACGTAATATGTTACATAATGTGTGATAATTGCCTTATATCAAACTATTATTGTCTGATTTGTATCGCTAAGGCTAATTTTTAGGCATACATTTATTATGTTAATTTCAGTATTAAAGATATGTATGTATATGTAATGATTTTTATCTTGTCTTATATTAAAACAATGAACTGAGAAAAGATATTGCATTCCGGCATCTGGAGAGGACCTGCGAATATTACATTGTTCCGGACGGTGTCTAATTGCGGAAGGCATTGCTACTTTAAATTCAAGATATTAAAGACCTTATATATGCCGAGGGGTCACGAGCACATATATACATTAACTAAAAAAATCTGTGCAAGTTATTATGCAAGAATTTATGACGTAGAGGTTGAATGTGCAAATACAGTCTGCTTTCGCAAACTGAATTTTCCTAGTCTTTACTGGTGACTCTGGTTACCAGTGCTACATGTTTTATTAATTTTTTTTTTTTGAGAATTTACTTTTTAATTTTAATAGCAACGTTAAAATTGTACCCGCACTCTTCGACAGTTTTTTGCATGTCTTTTGCACGCATATTTATAGTTACTATGAAATAAATATCAAATTGCTTTTTGATATCTAAAAAAAAAAAAAAATAATGTAAATAAACGTAACTTTATAACATAAAGTATAATGTCAATATAATGAAAGAACAATTTATAATGAATATAACTTTTATTTTAAATATATACGTCAAGTAATACTTGACTTGCATTGAAAAAAGTCTTGCAGTCATAGTTATAAAAATTATCTACATACGAAAAATTAATTAAAATGGATAAATGACTATCATTACGCTGTCGTATATGCTTTATATTTAATTAACATAAATGATAAAAACAATTTATAGCTGAGCTACTTGTCAAACATGACAAAAAAATCTCTGTGGAGTCCATTCAGATAATAACCAGTCATATCTTCTAGAAAAGTGTTTGTTATTTGACTTCTATGAGACCTAACTTTTCTTGCATGTATTGATAAAATGTCGCTGCTATAAAGACTATATATGACAAACAATTTTCTAGCAGATATGAAAAATAGCGCAATATTTTATGTGTAACATTTAGAAGTTGAATCAGCGAAATATATTTTTGAATGCGCATTAATATAATAATAAGTAATTAAAATGTATTCATTTATAAACAATATTTCCGTATAACTGTACCGATCGTAAAAAGCGATGAGTAAAAAATGAATCGATATTAATTTATCAGAATAACAAGTAAAAACGATATGTTTTTTTGAATTGCTAAATCTAATTCTGATACTTTTAAAAAATTATAATATAATTATAATATCGAGAAAATATTAAAATCGGCATATGAAGCTATTAAACATCTAGCACTGTAAATTATTATTATTGAGTTGCACGAACGTATTAATTAATGTTTTTCTGCTAGTAAAATATGATAATGTTTTCTAATACTTCCTACTCTGTTTGATAAAAAAGCTATCACATATATGAGTCACTTAATATTAGAATCTGAAAAATATCATTATTTTTTATATGAGAAAATGTCTAAAAAAGAACTTATTTGAAAGGAATTTTTTTTGTTCATAGCTATAAAACTGTGATAAAAATATGTTGTTTTATTTAAAAAATTGATGATGACCTTAATGTCGAAATTTTATGATATAAAAAAAATGTTTTAATAATAGTGTTTGCCCCCTTTGTCATAAATAAGTTTTTCCTTAAATATTTTTTCATATCATCGAAAATAATAGAGATATTTCAGATTTCTAATATTAGGTGATTTATTTTGTATACCTAAACGCGAAATTCAATCGCAAATTGAAAAAGGTAGGCATTGACGTCGAAATATTAAATTTTCAGAAGAAATGCGTAATCGCAACGTTTGCAACGTTTGCCGGTTACAGCAGACATTGAGTCGTTGCATCAAATTAAAGGCGAAGAATCACGCCAGTCGGTTTCTTATTGCCTGAAATCCCTCGCCGTCAGGTTAACAACCTAGTCTGTAGTATAATCGGGGTCGAAAGAGCGCACTCAAACGGCACTAGTAAAGTTAAAAGCATTGTTCCGCCATGCTGGCCCGTCCTTTAGGAAAGATACACTCGGCCGCGAGAAAGGAGATGACGGAGTCGGGAGAAACCGGCACACGTCCCGGCAATGAATTGCATTTTTCTCGGCGAATTCTTCGCATACGCACATACGAATTACGCGGGGATGACGGGCGCTTTCGCTACTTTTCGGCCGAATTTTTGTCGTTAAAGCATTTTTTCCATTTCGCATGGTGTTGCCAGTGGGAAAATCTCGAGGTAATGCGCGCTAATCAAATATTTCTATTGTGTTATAATTTATTTTTTTTTATAAATATTTGAATTCGTCGAAAACATTTTTAGATTTTTGTAATATGCCGGAAAACAATGCCGTTATTTGCCAGAAATATCAATAACAAATGAAATGATATATAGAGATTACATGTTCGTATTCTATTAAACTATTAGTAATGTAATGTGGGATATATGGAAGAAAGTAAGGTAGAAAGTAATGTACTCTGAATGGTTAAATGGTTAATTGAAACGGGCGGATATTCTGGTGCGGAATAAAATTTTAGATCATAAAAGATTAACGAATACATTTTAAGCCCATAATGGCACATTAAAATCCTTTGTTCTTTTAATGGGCTGATCAATGAAGAGTAAAATAGTATATATAAGACCTTTCGTGCACATTTAAAATAGAGAAAACAAAATATGGGAACGTAAAGCGTTGCATTTTTCTCATTCTGCACGTTCATCCTTACTTTGTGTACATAATTTAGACATAAATAATATTTGGATATATTTAATCACGAACAGTGTAAAATCGTTTACTAGAAGAAATAATAACGAGAAAAAAAATGTTATTTAGGATGGCAGTGGGCGATTTCTGGTCATGTCCCGTACGAGGAAATTGAAATTGTTAGTTATAAATAGAATGTTCCACGATTTTACGTCGGTTTCGGGTCGATTAGCTTCGCGGTAGCGTATCGGTCTCATAACGGGTCGTTGGCATCGATGACAAAGTTTTCGGGGTTTGCATTAGCATTCGTTCCCCCGCTGGTGGCGGCGGATGCCTGGGCTCGTGTGTAAACTCAGTGCCCGGAGGGCTTGCTTTGTTACAGGCCGCAGACCTCTGATACCGTGGCATACTTCATCGCCGAGTATTTCGAATACTCTTGGTATGATGTAGTTACACGCCCGGCCCGGGGAAGACCACATTCTCCGGTTCTGGGCCCCCGAGCTTAACTCCGCGGTCTTAAACGCCCCCGCGCTGTTGAGCGCTCCGGCGGATTTGCTCTGACATCTTCTCCTGCGAAACGACCGTGTCTGTACGCAGAAAGAGAGAGACGGAATCCATCTCGGTTTTCTCGGTCGCGTTAAATTCTTCGCGACGAAAAAGTCGAGCAGACGACAGAAATAAAAGGTGTGCACGCGGCGCACAACATCCCCCTCACAGGGATTCCCCGACGTTCTTCCCATGGTCTCCTCCGGCGAATGTTAAATTATTTGAGCGAGAAGTCGTGAAACTGATAGATTCACGTGGCATCGCAAGTTAGTCTGTGTAGATACTGTGTAGAATAATCCAATTAATATCCAAAGAATATAAAGATATTCCAAGATTTTTTTTCGTTTTAAGATCGATTTTAATTGTTGTTATTATTTCTATTCGTTATTTCTCTTTCCCTTTCAACGAAACTATTGTAAAAATATATAATTTTCTTGAAAAAAATCTACATAATCTACATTTTCAGCTCAGTTTCTTCAATGTTAAAGTTGTTTAATCGTCATGGTTGCAAAGTGCATATTCGCGCGGAGATATAAATTATATGAATTAGAAAGTGATTGGAATTTATATGAAGATCGCACAACGGAGCGTAAAGGGAAATAGAGTAGAGGTTATGAACTCTTGCTTTACACTGGGTTATCGGGTTTACCTAGATAAACATTATAGCTATTTTAGCTTGGTGGTGTAAATCATCTCTTTCACAAATAATGTAACCACTTGCACTAAGATATAATATATCTCTTTTCTCTAAATTTTAATTAATTCTGATTTTTAAAATCGTGAATAATTCTTTATTCGCGCGTCGACATTTTTATTTCATAAGCCTTCGAACATTTGAAGAAGAGGCTGTTTTTCAAATTAATCTTTAAGCTTACTTTGCTAACAAAATTAATTTTTTTTTAATTTTAATGTAAATTTAACTTTAATTGAATTTTCAATTTGTGAAAACAAAAAATATCTGATATTTAATTAATTCAATTATTAATCGAAATTCATGAAAATTATTTTTAAAAAATAAGATACGTTTAATAAAATTAAGGAAATATTTATCTCAAATCGACATGGCAATTCGTAAATAATAAAGAATGCAAGGA